GAGGAGGAGGAGGTCGAGGACCCCCAGGAGGCGGCCGTGGTGGGGGAGGAGGAGGCCAAGTGGAGCTGCGGGACCAGCTGAGGTCGCTCCAGAGGCTCACTCTCCAGAACTCGAACGAGATCCGCAACTTTCTGCACCTCACGGGAGAGTTCTGGCTGACGCCGCTCGAGCCAGAATGGGTGCAGGCGCCGATGGAGACAGGCAGGGAGTACGGGCGGAAAGTAAAGCAGCTGGGCAAAGGGCACGGCCTCGGCCCACCTCATGGCCAGGTGGCGGCGAGTCTGGTCGAGGAGATCGTGGCGGTTCTCGACACGGAGGAGCAGCAACTAGACGCTTCCCTCCTCCACGTGAGACAGCTCCTGAAGGAATTCATGAGCCAGCTCGACGAGCCCTGGGGACCAATCTTCATCACGGAGGTCTTCTTGCAGTGCAAGATCCAGGAGGCATACAACAAGACGGGCGAGGACGTGGAGATGGACATCAAACAGTGCAAGGCCAAGCTCATCTACACGATCAACACGGCGCCGAGCTTCAGGGCCGTGCTGTACGACCAGAAGCTGGAGCAGGAGCAGTACGACAAGATCGCGGGCTTCAAGGGGGACATATTCAAGCAGGCCCTGGGCCACGCGCTGGCGCACCTAGGGGCCACGAAGAGCCGCTCAGGAGGCCCGAAGACGGGCCTGGAGAGGGCGGTGGAGGCGCAGCTCAACAGGAGGTGAGCCAAGGCACACCCCAGACAATGCCCAGCAGCTCGCCCCGCCGCGAGCGAGAGAGCCCCGCGGGCCAGCCCTCGCCAGGCCCGCAGCCCAGCGGAGCCAGCAGCTCGATGTCGAGCAGCGCCACCGAACCACGCCTCAACACAACGGGGCGCCCTCGTGCCTGGCCACCATCATCACCGCCAGTGAGCCGAGAGGAAAAAATTGCACAGCTGATTAGTACAGACCTTGTTCGTATGACGAGCCTCAGAAGCCAGGCCGAACAACACGGAGGCCAGATGGCATACCTATATCGGATGGCTACGTACTATCGGGACCTACGACCAAGGGGTTATTACCAGCCTATGGCAAAACAATGAGGGGGACGGCGGCTTTTCTAATTATGCAGCCGTCACCCTACAATTACGCGGGCTCCCACTACCTACGCCCTCTCCCCCACCAACTCCCACTTCCCAACCTATCATCTCTCTCCAGGCAATCAGCTCTCTACTAGTGTCACTCACAAACGGGGTTTGCCTGTCATACAGTATTGTTGAGGATGATCGAAGCATGATGTACCGCGACATCGTAACGGACAGTATACAGAACGACAGCGACAGTACATGCTACAGGGTACACATCGCGTACTATGACAGCATGCACAGGGAACTACCATACCACATCTACCAGCACAGCCATGCGTTTGTGATCCGACCACGGTCCGACCTCTCCTCTCCTGCTCAGCTACATCCAGCTCTTGCCTGCTTTAGCTATTACAACTGTTACCTATCTCGACATCCAGAGAATAGAGTGAGTAAGAGTTGCATACTAAGGAAAGGCACAGGACTCCGACAGCAGCGAACCACTGTGCCTACGCCTACTATCACACCAAGGTCTTACTACGGTTCCTTACGGCCCAACCACTGGGAACTAAGGAAACGACTACAATATCTAAGGTGTACAACAGTAGGCGGGAACAACTAAGGTAACGAGGATTGGTATACAGCTCGACATACTACCAGAGGACATTTGCGACTCGAGCATCTTCGCGGCTTCCCATCCAGTGCTGGCGGCCACTCCGCCTACATCCAGAGCCAGCGCACAGAGGGCGCGCGACCAGTGTTGCAATGGCGGCGCAGGCGCACATGGAGAAGGGCGAGATGGCGAAGCAGCCTGCCGCAGAAGATCATCTGCAGCCGACGATTGTGCAGAAGCCGCTCGACAGAGGAGGCATGGGAGGAGTTGCGGACCAAGTGGCGGGCGCGGCGGCGTACAGGCTCGAGGTCGCGCACAACACGCTCCAGAGTACGGCCGTATCGTTCAAGGTGGCGACCGAGCACTGCAAGAAGGCCCTCCACGCGCTCCACAAGCAGCGGGAGAGGGTGGTGACCACCCTGGGCCGCATGAATGCGAAGAGCCTCAACCCATACGAGGAAGCGGAGCGCAGCCAAGCGGTGCTCTACCTCAAGGAGCAGCTCCACGACATCAGCGGTGCCATCAGCTCAATGAGGAGCGCCATCGGCATCACCGACGACAAGATGGGCAAGACCATGCGCGGGCCGATGCCATGGGAGCTGGACTTCACGAGGCGCCAGTACGACGAGCTCGACAACATATACACGCGCTGGACGAAGGGCCCGCACGGCTACGCATACGACGAGGCGTTCTTCGCGGGCGACATGCAGACGGAGCCAATGGTGGAGCCGCAGATGGAGATAAAGGACTACCTCCAGCCTCCACGCAGGCCGCCGTGCACCAACCCGAGCAAGAGCATCGAGGGCTGGGAGAACCGTGGCAAGGTTCTCAGCAGTGAGGCCAGCTCGAGCACCCCAGCCGCCGCCTCGGCAGTCACTAAGGATGACAGCTCGGCCCAGAGCAGGGGCGTCAGGCTGTCCTCGCCAAGGGCGGCAGCGGCAGCAGGCTGGGGCATAGGGCAGCAGTAGTAGAGAGCAGACTGTACTAGGCCTGGCCTCCCTTTTTTTTTCTCTCCCCACTACCACCACAAGGGAGGGCTCGGCAGCAAGCACCCAACGCATGAGCCAGTGCGGCCATGCACTACATATACATATGCCGAGGGCAGGGAGTACCAGGCCGCCTCTTTCTTTTTTTGCCTCTCTCACCGTCCTGGGAGTGGGGGAGGAGGGGGGCGTTGGTGGGTGGGCTCTCAGCGGTGAGGGGTGCGCCCAGCGAGGCAGCCCCACATCGCCTGCAACAGTCGACAGGCCGCAACCGAGGCAGGGTCTCCCTGCTAGCGAGGCTCGGGGCCCCGTCGACACAGGCGGGCCCCGTCGCCTCAGGCGGCCCCCCCAAAGCAAGGGTGGGCCCGCATCCGTATGCTTCCCAGGGGTCAAAGCCTTTTTCGGTAGGCGGCAAGACCAGACCCCCAAGGGCCTTATCCTTATCCTTATCCTGCTCCTTCTCCTCCTCCTCCTCCTCCTCCTCCTCCTCCTCCTCCTCCTCCTCCCTCCTCCTCCCTCCCTCCCTCTCCTCCTCCTCCTCCTCCTTCTCCTCCCCCTCCTCAGCCTTCTCCTCCTCCTCCTCCTCCTCCTCGTCCTCCTCCTCCTCCTCCTCCTCCTCCTCCATCCCTCCCCCCTGCCCCCCCCACTCTGGCCCCGGGGCGCGCCCGCTCAGGCCAGCAGGTCTCAGGCCACGGCGGTTCGGGACCTCACACCGCATGCTGCGACAACGAAAGGCAGGCTCCACTCCGACTCGGCCAGCTCGATCCGTCGCGAGCGCGCCCGGTTCCAGTTCGACTTCGGCTCGATCTCGCGCAAGTGGAAGCCGATTCGATTCCGGTTCGAACTCGGGCCGGCTCGATCTCGATGCGATGCGCCTGGATATCCACGGCAACGCCGCTCTCATCGACGAAGAAATGTCCCCCCCCCCCCGGAGCCTCCGGCGCTGCCCCTGGCGCGCTCCGCGCGCCAGAGGGGAGGGCCCAGCGCATCCAAGAAGTCCACAGAGACCTCCGAGGGGTTACCCGTCGGTCGTTGAAAGCCGGTGTAATTTGGATTCCCAGATCCCAGCCCAGACATGATCGCGTCGTTAAAAATCAGGACGGCTGGTTTTTCACTATTTTCGGCCCTTGGGGGCCCTCGCCGGGCCTCAGGACCGTCCAAAAACGGCTCAGGACGAAAAACCAGTCCCGGGGAAAGGGTCGGGACTTCCAGGGACGCCGTCCTGAAAAAATTAGGACGTCGCATGTCTGGGAAATCATTTCTAGCGCCTTCCTACTTCAAGGGTCGAGCGGCTTTCCCTCCTCCCTCGTCTCCAGGGGGCGGGCGGAAGCCCAACCTTCTTCCTACGCCGTCCTACTTCATGCTTCCCCCCACGTCGTCCGACCAGCGGGTACGTGGGTGCCTCGTCTTCCCTCTTCCCTCAAAGCGACCACAGCCGGGCGGGGCTGGGACTTGCCTGGTTCTCGCCTTTCTGGAGGCCCTCGTCGCCACCGCCGGATTCGCCTCGAGCTTCTGGTCGGAGCGCACCTGCAGGAGAGGTCCGGGGAGCAGCGGTATCGGTGCCTCTCGGTTTCCCCGCGGCCAGAGCCCGGCGTGATCAGCTGCAGCTCGGCGGCGAGCCCGGGGGGAGGTGAGAGGGGGCGGGCCTTCTCAGAAGGCTCGCAAGTCCCCCGGTCTTCTGAGGAGCCGTCATATGCCTTCCCTGGAGGCACACATGACGTCTTTCAGGATTCCGGAGGGCCTCCGCGGAGCCCCGCCGCCCTCGGAGGAGGTTCCTGCTCGCCTCCCCCCCTTCGCTTTCGCCGCCGACCGGAGCCCGACGTGATCCGGTACAGCGCGGGGGCCAGCGCGTGCGGGCTGGGTGAGCAGTGTGGGCCTGCTTTGGCGATGCTCCGCGAGAGTTGGGGAGGCGAATCTGGTGCATGACGTTGTCTCTTGCAGTGCTGTGATCAGCACGTGCGGGGCGGGCAGGCAGTGGCAGCGGGCTTTGCCGCTGGTAGACCCGCCCAAGAAGGACCCCGAGAGGCCACCATGACTATACTTCACCGTGGGTTTTTGCAGGGTTCCAGTGTTCTCGCCGTGTCGGATTCTCGACGCAGCAGGACGGGGCCAGATGCCCCCCAGAATGGCACCAAGACTCAGACGGCCGAAGAGGCCCCCAAGAGGGCCTCCAGACTGCACAAGAGGGCCCCAACACGGCCCAATAGGCCCCCAAGAAGGCCTAAGACGGCACCTCCGTCATCATTTTGGCTCAAGATCTGATCCAGCAGATCGGCGCAAGCTATCTAAAGTAAAGTTACTGTTCACACGCCTACACATTCTTTACAATCCCCGATAAGGCGAGCCCATGGCGAATAAGGGCGTCGCCTGCCTCGTGCTGGTCGCCAGCGCTGCCCTGCCGCTGCAGGCCCTGACGCTGCACGAGGCCGACGAGGCGCTGCTCCGGCGTGCCGGGCAGGGCGCCGCGGCGGGAGAGGCCGGCAGGCGCAGCGGTATGGTAGACCTCCAGCACCTCGTTGACCAGCACGCCGCGTCCGAGGTCGAGCTTCACGCCCGTGCGGCCGAGACGTTCCGCAAGTTTGCCAGCAAGATGGCCAAGAGCGGGTGCAACTACAAAGGGGGCCTTTTTGCCGTGTCCCAACGGCCACATTTGCCACTACACGGGGCAGAACGGCGTGAGGTCCAACGCGACTGTGGAATACCGTGGGAACATTATCCGGACGGTCTTGTCACCCGATCCTGACCAGGGACTCGATCAGCCAGACCTCGTAACATTCATGGGGCCAGCACCGATGACGCTCCAGCAATGCTGACAGAAGTACCAGAGGAATACAGGAGAACAGCGGACCCCGTGATGTTGAAGAGGTTCTTCATTGATGCTACTGATGATGTGACTGAAGAGTGCCCTCATGACAGTGAGCGCGTTGAGACCATGGGCGACAGCACTGTGTCGTACACCGTTAACAACAGCACCTTCTCGCTTCAAACACGGGAAGCGACCACCAACAAGTTCATGGGCATGTCGTTCGATTTCGTCAGCGAGGCACCTGTGGGTCACACCCTGGCCTTCGAGATCCTTGCTGGGACGCAGATCGTCATGGTTGCCAGGATGCAAGGGAAGCGGGGCTCTGGCGCCGCTTGGAACGCAGAAAGGAGACCAAGCTTTTGCAGACCCACGGGGACCCGGGGCTCCACCTGCTTAAGTTTGAGTTTGAAGTTTCGCTGGACAAGAGGCAGTTTCGCTCCACATTCAATTTCAGCAAGTTTCAGCCTTCTCGTCATCCTCCCCTTGCTCCTCCTCTTCCTCCTCTTTTTCTCTCTTCTCCCCCTCGTCCTCCCTCGCCGCATCCGTTTGCCTCCGCGGGGACGGGCAGGGGCGGGGCAGAGAGGACAAGTAATCGCTGGCGACCGGCGACCGGGGGTGCGGATGAAGGAACGACACTAGGTTTTGAGACTTCTGTGTTGGGCTCGCGCCAATTCGCACTACTGCCAGTGGCTCTGTTGAATAGGGCTTCTGCTACTTCTGTGCATCGCTCGCGCCAGTTTCCATAATTTTCTGTGGCGATCCTCTGTCCAGGGCTTTGAGATTTCTGTGCAAGGCTCGCGCCAATTAGCACCACTTTCAGTGGCTGTCTGTTGTACAGGGTTTCTGAAACTTGCGTGCATGGCCTGTGCCAATTTGCACCCCTCTCAGTGGCTGCCTGGCAGAATCGGGTTGCCACTCAGGCCATCGTTTTGAGGCTGCTGCGCGGGTCCTATCCCCCAGCATGTCTGTGGTGCGCTCCACCAGGGCCGCCAGAGGGGCCGTGCTCGGTCACTTCTGTTGGCGAGGTTTCGCGCCGCGAGCGCGCACGCGCGTCAGGTTCCTCGTCGTTCCTCACGGCGAGCGTGAGCTTATCCTGGCGTTGAGCACCACCGTCCAATACCTTCCCTCCGTCAGCTCCCCTGCTCATGGTCCCTCGCTGCTGCAGTGGCCTTCCCTCCGTCAGCTCTCCTGCTCATGCTCCCTCTCCCCGCTCTGAGCGCGCGTGTGCCCGTCCCCACGTTTCCGCGCGTGGATCGCGCAATCGTATCTAAGGTGTGCGCAATTGCGGTGGCAAACAACGGCTCCTCCTTCCTTTCGTTGTCCATCCCCGCCCCTTCTCCTCTTCGTCTGATCCACTCTAGGGCAGGTGGGGGGATGGGCCCTTTTCTCCAGGCCTACCTGTTCAACTCGAGCTGCGTATTACGGTCCCTGGGCCCGTTGAAGGTGCCCACACACACATTCACACACTTGCCGCCGCGATTTGTTCCGCAACGAGCGGATGTGTGGAGGTAACGAGAAGCCTGGTTTGTGGATTCAAAAAAACTGCGCTTGAATTCAAGCAACAGTTTTGGAAATGGTTTTTGATTCAAAGAATTCAGATAAAAAAGTTGTGCATTCAAAACCCTTTTGAGTTTGGACACCTGTTTGTTGAATTCAAAAACCAGTTTGTTGAATTCAAAACCCATTTTTTTGAATTCAGAGACCAGTCCCCTTCTTCCTGGGCCCTGCCTGCAGGAGGAGGACCAGGAGACCGGCCGCCCTCTCGGCCCCCCCGCCAGCCGCCACAGGGGCTCGCCCCGACCATCTCCGTGGGCAGCTGCAACAGCGCCGCCCTCAGCGCCTGCGGCGCCCAGATCTTCCCCCTCCCCTTCTTCTCCGCCGCCTCCCCCTCCTCCTCCTCCTGCTCCTCCTCCTCCTCTCCTCCTCCTCCTCCTCTCCTCATCATCGTCAGCAGCATCATCATCAGCAGCATAATGATTAATAGCATCAGCATCATCATAATAATAATCATCAACAGCATCATCATCATCATCATCCTCATCATCTGTATGGTAGCCCTGATTTTCCGTCGCCGTTGCGGCTCAAATTCGAAACATAGATCCCTGGTGTTTCGAGCTTGCTCGCAGCCGAGGGGGTCACTCGAAACCTGGGCACAGTTGCCCTTGCTTTTCTTGCTTCCCTCTCCGACCTGTTCGGATGCCGATTTGCTGGGGGTTGCGATGGCACCGAAAAAGTGTGATGAGCCTGTCTCGGTTGCGGAGTTGGCCGCTGAGGTGGCCAAGATGAGTGCTGGCTTCGAGAAGCTCAATGCGTCTATTGGGGTGCTCTCTGCTCTGTCTAGAGCAATGCTTCGGAGGCGCCCAGGGGGTGAGTCCCGCCACCCACTGTGCAGGCAACGGTAAGAAATGTTCCCACGCTCTGGGAACTATTTTCTAACCCCCCCCGCGCCCCTCGGGCATGAGCCGCAGCTGCCGACGGAGCGAACCCGCGTGAGAGGAAGAAAGGAGAGGAGGAAAAGGAGGAGGGGGAGGGAGGAGGAGGAGAAGGAGGAGGAGGAGGCGGGGCACGGAGTCGCATCATTCTCTCTCGCTCGCTCTCTCTCTCTCTCTCTCTCGCTCTCTCTCTCTCTCTCTCTGTCCCTCTCCCTGTATGTATATACATACATATATATATATATATATATTCTTACATGTATAAATATATAGGCATACTGGCCCTGCTGCATCCCCGCCCCGTCCTATCCGCAAACGGCGACGTCGTCGCTGCACCCTGGCGCCGTCGTCGCAGCAAAGGGGGCGACGTCGTCGTCGCACCCCGGCACCGTCGTCGCACCCCCCCCCCCTTACGTCCCATCCGCAAGAGCGCCCGTCCTCGCACCGGGGCGCCCGTCGTCGTCGCACCCCCCGCCCCCTCCCCTCCCTTCAGCTTCCTATCCGCAAAGGCCGCCCTCGTCGCGCACACACACACACCACACACACACCACACACACACACACACACACACACACACGCACGCACGCACGCACGCACGCACGCACGCACGCACGCACACACGCACGCACGCACGCACGCACGCACGCACGCGCACGCATGCACTCACGCACGCACACACACCAACATACACACACAGACACTAGCACACACAGACACAGACACTCACATAGACACACACTCACATAACAGACACACACACACTCAGACACACACACACACACACACATACATACGCACACTCACACACAGGCACACCCACACACACACACGCACACACACATACACACATTCACTCACGCACACACACACACGCATACACACACGCGCGCACACACGCACGCATTTGTCGTCGGCGGCGCACCAGCGCTAGAGCCAAACTGGGGCACCGAGAATCGAAGTGGCCATCGTGCAAGAACGGGGAGAGGACAGACGAGGCGGGGGGGCGGGGGGAGAACGGCCTCTCAGAGGTGGAAGAATTCTCACCTGAGTGTGCTGGCGCGGCCGGCCCCGTCAGCGGGGTCCATGGCAGCTGCCAGAGCACCCACGGGCGATGGCGCGGCCCAGTGCGTGGAAAGCATGTACTGCAGAGACGCTGCCGATGAAGTAGGCGAGGTACTTGGACGACAGAAGGAGGGCCACAAGGCCGCGTGACAAGGTACGGCAAGTTCGCGAGCAGTCTAGGTTCGGGCTGCAACCAGCAATATGCTGGGCCCGTGGAGGGGAGCGGGCGGCAAGACGAAGCCCAGGTGCCAAACCACACGGGGAGGCTGCACGCTGCGGCAGCCTCGCGAGCGCCATGGCGGCGCGCGGAGGGAGGGGGGGAACAGAGGGCGCCGGGGAGGAGAAGAGAGGACGAGGAGGAAGAGCGCCCCGCCTGTAGGGAGATCCCCGCAGGCGGGGCGGCAGCGCCGGCGCCGGCGCCCGCCGGTGCGGTAGGCAGGCGGCCCGCGCACTGTGCTGCACCAGACGTCTGCGCGCTGCCCCGGGTGGCGGGGCAGGGTAGCTGAAGTACGCCTCGCGGCTGCCCAGCAGGGGGCTGCGGAACATCAATCGGGGAGACATCGATCGTGGACGACCAGGGCGAAGCGGCCCCTCATTTCAGCCAAAAGGCTCACGCATTTCGCCGACCCCCACGTGAAAAACGAAGTCCACGGGTGAGCCTGCTCTGGGGTCTTCGGGTCGTCTTTAAGGTCTTCTTTTGTGACCATTTGGGGTCTCTTTTGATCATCCTGGGGGCCGCTTGGGGCCTTCTTGGGCAACTGCTGGCGAGTTTAGGGGCCAATTTGGGGCAGAGGTCTCGACATGCCATTTCGAGTTGCCCCTCTTGGGGCCCAGTTGGGGCCCTGTTGGACCACCCTTGGCCATTTCTGGGTCGTGTTCAGTGCTGTCTTGGGCCGTCTTCGGGCCACTTTGAGGGCTTCTACAGTCAGGTGAATCTGTTGTTGGCAGTGATATTTAAGAGCGCATATGCACTCATCGGAGGCGTCGGGGGGTGCATGTGTCATATCTTCATCACCATTGCATCCGTAGCCTATTTGGCCCGGGAGGAGCGACTTGAGGGATCGACCGAACGACCGACGAGTAACGACGAAATCGACGACGACCGACCGACACGACCGACGACTGACGACGACAACGGTCCAACCGACCGACCGAGGATCGACAACCGAGGACCGACGACCGATCGATCGACCGAGACGACGACGACCGACGACGGCGGACGACGGACCGACCGACCGCCCGACGACCGACGACCGAACCGACCGACCGACCGACCGACCGACCGACCGACGAACGACGACCCACGGACCGACCGACCGACGACCGACCGACCGACCGAGCCGACCACGAACGACGCTGACGGACGGATCGACCGACACACCGACGACCCACGACGGGACTGACCGACGGACCGACCGACCGACAGAGACGACGACAAACGCCGACCGACCGACCGATCGACCGACCGACCGACGACTGGGCCGACCGACCGACCGACCGACGACTGGGCCGACCGACCGAGACATCGCACGCGCACCAGCGCGTGCGAACGGGCCCCGTTTGGGAACGAGGCATGACTACAATGCCTGGGACCCCCCCCCGCCCCCCAGGCCCGTCTCCCACCCTCCCGGCTTACTTCGTTTATATTGTTATAACCCTAACTGGGGTGAAGTCCCCGAGCGTAATATCTGCGGGGGATAGTAGCGCCTCGCGCCTTCAAGACAGATGGGTTCCAGCGCAAAATGTTCACCAGGGGCGCGCCCCTCGCCGTCGGTTCCAGCGCACAATATTTACGCGGGGTAGTGGTTCCAGCGCCTCATGCCTTCTAGGCATATGGGCTCCAGCGCCAAATTTGCACGCGGGACGGGGGTTCCAGCGCCCCACGGCGTCGGTTCCAGCGCCCAGTATTTTCGGGGCACAGTTGTTCCAGAGCTTCACGCCTTCAAGGCAGATGGGTTCCAGCACTCAACTGTTACCAGTGGCGGAGGCTCCAGCGCCCCACGCCGTCGGTTCCAGCGCCCAATATTCAAGCGGGATAGTGGTTTCAGAGCCGCATGCTTTCAAGACGTATAGGTTCCAGCGCCCACTCCCCCACCACCACTAACCCATGCCATGCCCCATTTGGTCAGCATTTGCACTGCCACA